AAAAAAGGCTGGCGAAGAAAGAAAAAACCCAGCGCCAAGCTGTAGCCTCCGGAGCCATTTACGGTTCGGATCTGGTCACGTTTTCCGTCTTGGCGGCAACGAATATTGATAATGATAATGACAATTAATAATAATAATAATAATAATCGAATTTCGACTGTTCGCTGCGGCCTTTGGCTTCGTGGCAGGCTTCCTCTTCTACAATTCCATCGCATTTGCTGATCCAGTTCTTCGAGGGAGAGAAAACGGTTGCACGACTGGAGCAGAGCCCCCACACACACACACACACACCCCGGACACTCGGTGGGTTTTCTAGCAGAGGCTTCAGCGGCTCGGTTGAACCTGCACGGAAATATTTTATTTGGCATCATCTCCTAGATCATTTAATTTCATTTCTGCGCCTACGGGGTTCCGCGCGTTGTGCGAAGTGCGCCTTTTGCGATCCTTCAAGGTCCAGCGTATTGCGCGAACCCAGAGCAGTAGGTTAATTTAGGAACGGAGCGAAATGAATCGGGCGAAGGCGGTTTAGTGCCAAACGAATTTCGGGTTTTCTGCTTGATTTTTAACCCGGCGTCCGTTGGACCAAACACCCGCAGGAAAACGGTCCATTGCTTGGAAATCCAGATGTTAAAATCGGTCTCTTTTAGGGCGTCGTGCTCGGGTCGGTTAAAAAGTAGTAGGGAACCTCAATCCGGCGTCGCTTCGGCCCTCTTTTCTCATGCAGTCGTTTTCTTCCGAAAGATTTCTGGGCAGACCGAGAGAGCGAGAATGATTAAAAGTCAGATTATACCGAAAGAGAAATCGAAAGAAGAATAGAAGGAATAGGAGAGAGGTAGGGACCTGGGAAGAAACCGGAGCGGGAAACCGTCAGAATCAGACTCGTTCGGTTCTGGATCCGCATCCTGGAAGGAAAACGGCATCCCAGGAACGCGGACCGAAATGAGGCCAATCAATTCACCCCCCCCCCCAGGGGGAATTAAACCCCGCGAGTTTGATTTCGTACCCGGGCTGGACTTGAAGGGTGTGTGTGTGTCTTTTTCATTCTCAACAGGAAGAAATATTTTAGATCGGAAACGAAAAAGCGAAATGGCGGCAGTGGCTAGAAACGAAAGCACCCCGAAGACGCCTCGGCGGGCTTCCTGGGCTTCCGCGCCCCCTCTTCCCCCGGAAGGGTCGCAGGCCCGGTGGTCAGTTGTGGGGCGGCGCTCCCAGGGCCAAACTGGGGCGCGGTAGAGTCCCACTTGGCTTCTGTCGGCCTCAGGGAAAGGAGGAGAGGGACTTCGAGGGCGGGGCGGAATCCGGAATTTCTCCCCCTTTCTTGGTTATTCCTGACCGCGCGCGTGCATAATTGTATTGATTTCTTGGGGGGGGGGAACAAGGCTGGTTCCTGTGTCCTTCTATCAAGCCAGTCTCCCAAACGACCCCCCACCCCTATCCCGCCGTCACCTTAAGAGCGGGCTTCTGAGAAAGGGTCTCTCCTGTCGTGCCCCTTAAACCACGTTCTCTGGGCAAATGAGACCTTCAGAACTCCGACTTATTAAAATCAAGGTGTGGCCTTTTCAAAAAAGCTTATTCTTCTTCCTCTGGATTTTTTTTTTCTGTTATTTTGGAGAGGGGCCGATAGATCCTCTAGCTGGGAGGGGTGTGAAAAGGGTGGCCCTGGGTCGGGAGAG